TCATCTTCAACCTCTCTTCTTCTCCCGCCCTCCTCTCTTCCGCAGTTGCCAGCCCTCCTCGGCACTCACAGTCCTCTGAACTTACTCTACTGTATGTAGACTCCCCATTCTCTTCCCCCTTCCTCCTCTCCCTTCCTCTTCCCCTCCCTCCTCCTCTCTCCCTACAGCCCTCCTCTGCACGCACAGTCCCCTGAACTTGATGTCGTAGGCGGCAATGATGAGTAGGTAGACTCCACTTTATCTTTCCCTCTCTCCCTTTCCCTTCCCCTCCCCCTGCCTCCTCCGCAGGCTTCCTCTACACTCACAGTCCCCTGAACCTGACGTCGTAGGCGGCAATGATGAGTAGGTAGACTCCACTTTATCTTCCTCTCCCTCCCTGTCTCTCTCTTTCTCCTTCTCTATCTTTCCCCTCTCTCATTCTCCTCTCCCCTTCTCCCTCCCTCCTTCTCTCTCCCCACATCTTTCTCTGCACTCACAGTCCCCTGAACTTGACATCGTAGGCGGCAATGATGAGTAGGTACACTCCCATGAAGAGGTCGGCGAGGGAGAGGTTCTTGATGAAGAACGAGTGCACCTGATTGATGTCCTCTCTGATGAGGCATCGTCCTATCAATACCATCATGTTACCTGCGAGACAGCAACGAGATAGTCACTGAGAGAAAGGGAGAGACAGAGAGAGAGAAAATGAGGGAAAGATAGAGCGCAAGATAGAAAGAGAGACAATGAGAGAGCGAGTGAGAGAGGGGGAGAGGGGGAGGGAGAGAAGGATAGAGAACATTAGGGAAAGAGAGAGCGCAATATATATAGAGAGAGAGACAGAGAGAGAGCGAGTGAGAGAGGGGGAGAGGGGGAGGGAGAGAAGGAGAGAGAAAATGAGGGAAAGGTAGAACGCAAGATAGAGAGAGAGACAGAGAGAGAGATAGAGAGAGAGAGAGAGAGAGAGAGAGAACGGAAGGAGGAGGAGAGAGGGAGGAGAGAGGCGAGTGAGAGATATGGAAGAGAAGGGGAGAGAAAATGAAGGAAAGATAGAGAGAGAGAGAGAGTACGCAGTATACACCCCGCCATCTCCCCTTCCCCACCTTCCTCCCTGCCCTTCACTAGCCCTCCCGTCTCCCTCCCACTACCCCTCCCTCCTCCCCCTCTGCCTCATCCTCCTCTCCGTACCTATGCAGCCTAGGATGCCCACCACCCACACGCTGCTACGCTGTACACACCCCACCATCTCCCCTTCCCAACCTTTCTCCCTGCTCTTCACTCACCCCCCTCCTCCCTCCTCTGCCCACCCTCCTTCCTCCTCCCCCTCTCGCTCATATGACGTCAGGATGACGTCACACCATCGTCGTCTGTTTCGGGCGGCCAGACGGCGACGCAATGACGTCACGATGACGTCACACCATCGTCGTCTGGTTCGGGCGGTTAGACGGTGACGCAATGACATCACGATGACGTCACACCATCGTCGTCTGTTTCGGGGGTCAGACGGTGACGCAATGACGTCAGGATGACGTCACACCATCGTCGTCTGTTTCGGGCGGCCAGACGGCGACGCATTGACGTCACGATGACGTCACACCATCGTCGTCTGTCACGATGACGTCACACCATCGTCGTCTGTTTCGGGCGGTCAGACGGTGACGCAATGACGTCAGGATGACGTCACACCATCGTCGTATGTTTCGGGCGGTCGGACTATAACGCGATGACGTAACAATGACGTCACACCGTCGTCGTCTGTTTGGGGCGGCCAGACGGCGACGCAATGACGTCACGATGACGTCATATCATCGTCGTCCGCTTCGGTCGGCTGGCGGGCGAGTAGTAGTTGCCGGCGGCTGCAGCTCTCGCCTGCTTCTCCTGTGACGACGGCCTGACCTCGTCTTCCCGTCTCAGGCTCCACGGTGTCGCCTTGCCCGTTGTCGTGGCAACGACGACGCCGTTGCTGCGGCGAGCGACGTCCGAGCGCTCTGCTCTGTGACTCATGTGCTCCTGTGTGAGGTAGCCAGAGAGGCGTGTGAGGATGACGGGTAGTTATAAAAGAGATGGGAGAGAGCGATAGAGAGAGAGATAGAGAGAGAGAGAGAGAGAGAGATAGAGAGAGAGAGAGAGAGAGAGAGAGAGAGAGATATACACGTACAGACACTGAGAGAGAAAGAGGAAGAGAGAGAAACAACGACCAGGAAAAAAATTAAAAGTGAAATAAAGAAGAGGGAATAAAAACGAAAGTGACAGCCAGCCAGCCAGAGAGACCACACGAGTAATCCAGCTCCTCCTCTCCCTCCTCCTCCTCCCCCTTCTCCTCTCCTTTCTCTTCCTCCTCCTCCTCCCACTCCTCCTCCTGTCCCTCCTTCTCCTCCTCCTCCTCCTCTTCCTCCTCTCCCTCTTCCTCCTCTTCCTCATCCTCTTCCTCCCATCCTCCTCCTCCTCCTCCCCTCCCCCTTCTCTTCCTCCTCCTCCCCCTCCTCCTCCTCCGCATCCTGCTCCCCCTCCTTCTCCTCCCCTT